GATTTTTTAAATGATGGTGAAATCAGATCAGACCTATGGTCATGTTTAATCCCAGCGAGAGTCAAGTTGGGAATTGATAATTTCTTTGTCTTTTTGTGTTTTATTTTACAGAAGGATCAGTTTAGTATACGTTAAGTAAAGATTTCAACAGTTTGTACCCACATAGAAACACAAAGTGAAATATACTGTTTGACTACTCGTTATAGCATTAAATCTCAATGTACAGCACATTAAGGACAGAGATCCTACATGAGGAGTAAGTGCACAGTGACTCCTGTTATTGACTTTACAAATTGACACTCCTGTTTATGGCATCAGTAATCTCCCTATGCTCCAGTCATGAGTTTCCAAGGCTATGGAAGCCTTTTGAGTTCTCCGACTCTTATCTTGTTTAGACAAGGTCATAGTCAAAGTGGAGGTTCTCTCCTCCCTTCAGAGAAAGGTACCTCCTTCTTTGAAGACCTGTTCTTTCCACTGGGATCTCACTCACAGAGATCTTTCATTTAGGTCTTTTCTTTTTTGTTTTTGTTTTTGTTCTTGTTTTTGTTTTTGCCAGAGTGTCTTGGCTTTCCATGCCTGAAATACTCTCATGGGTGTAATTTTCTTTCAATGCTGCATCTTTCTCTGGCTTAGGGATTAAGGTGATGCTGGCTTCATAGAAAGAATTTGGGAGGATTCCCTCTTTTTTGATTGTTCTGAATAGTTTGAGGAGAAATGGAGTTAGTTCTTCTTTAAATGTCTGGTAGAATTCAGCAGTGAATCCATCTGGTCCTGGGCTTTTCTTTGTTGGGAGCGCCTTTATTACTGTTTCAATTTCTGTCTCAGTTATGGGTCTATTAAGGTTTTCTATGTCTCCATGATTCAATTTAGGTAGATTGCATGTGTCCAGGAATCTATCCATTTCTGATAGATTTCCCTGTTTGCTGGCATACAACTCTTTGTAGTAATTACTGATGATTCTTTTTATTTCTGTGCTGTCTGCTGTTACATTTCCTTTTTCATCTCTGATTTTATTGATTTGGGTCTTGTCTTTTTTTAGGTAGTTGAGCCAATGGTGTGTCAATTTTATTCATTTTTACAAAAAACCAGCTCTTCGCTTGGCTGATTTTTTTGTAATGTTTTTTTGGATTCAATCCTGTTGATTTCTTCTCTGATTTTAATTATTTCTCTTCTACTAGATTTGGGTCTGGTTTGCTGCAGTTTTTCTAGATCCTTGAGATGTGTTGAAAGCTCATTTATTTGGTGCCTTTCCAATTTCATGATGTAGGCACCTATTTCTATAAGCTTCCCTACTGTTTTTGCCATATCCCATAAGTTTTGATATGTTGTGTTGTTATCCTCATTTACTTCCAGAAAGTTTTTGATTTCTCTTTTGATTTCTTTTATGACCCAGTGTTCATTCAGGAGCATGTTGTTCAGTCTCCATGTGTTTGCATACTCTCTAGGGATTCCTGAGTTGCTTATTTCCAGCTTCATTCCTTTATGGTCTGAGAAGCTGCATGGTATGATTCTAATTGTTTTAAATTTGCTGAGATTTGCTTTATGGCCTAGTATGTGGTCAATCCTAGAGAAGGTTCCATGCAATGCTGAGAAGAATGTAAAATCTTTAAATGTAGGATTGAAAAATCTGTAGATATCTGTTAGATCCATTTGGGCAATAGTATCGATTAAATCTGCTGTTTCCTTGTTGATCTTCTGTCTGGTTGATCTGTCTATTTCTGAGAGTGGGGTATTGAAGTCCCCCAGTACTATTGTATTAGAATCTAAGTCTCCCTTTAAGTCCCTTAACAAATCTTTTAAATAAACCAGTGCCCTGTAATTAGGTGCATATACATTTATAATAGTTACATCTTCCTGCTGAATTGAACCCTTAATCATTATAAAGTGCCCCTCTTTGTCTCTCTTAACAGTTTTTGTGTTAAAGACCCAGTGCTCCTATCATCTGGTTCACTTCCAATTGCCTGCAACTGCCAGGACAGGGCTAGGGCAGAAGCTGGAACCTGGGAACTCAATCTAGAGTTCCCATATGTGTGTGACAGGAATCCAATCATGTGAGCCATCACTGCTGCCTCATAGGATCTTCATTAACAGGAAGCTGCTGGAGTCAGGAGTGAGGAGCTAGGCATCAAGTATGGATACTCTGGGGGCTGGTGCTGTGGCACAGCAGGTTAATGCCCTGGCCTGAAGCACTGGCATCCCATATGGGCGCCGGTTCTAGTCCCGGCTACTCCTCTTCCAATCCAGCTCTCTGCTATGGCCTGGGATAGCAGTAGAAGATGGCTCAAGTACTTGGACCCCTGCACCCACGTGGGAGACCCAGAAGAGGCTCCTGGCTCCTGGCCTTGGATCGGCACAGCTCCAGCCATTGCAGCCATCTGGGGAGTGAACCATTGGACGGAAGACCTCTCTCTCTCTGCCTCTCCTCTCTCTGTGTAACTCTGACTTTCAAATAAATAAATCTTAAAAAAAAAAAAAAAGTGCAGATACTCTGATGTGGGATGCAGATGTCTTAACGATCATTAGGCCAAACACCCATCCCAACTGTTCTATTTTGTATGTAATTTATATCTGGGAAAAGAACTCAAGGGCATAGGAGATGGTAGTTTAGCCCATTTAAAAAGGAAAAGGAAAAAAAAAAGTTAAGGAACTCTCAAACAAATATATACATAAGAAAAATGATTTAAGTTCTTAACTGTCTAAAAACTGGTTTTTTGTTTGTTTCTAAGACTTTGAGGACACTTTGGATCTCAGTATTTTCTTTTGCCACATAGAATACAGTGATAAAACATAGATTACAGTGGTAAAACATAGATTGATATGGTTATACAAAGGTAAATAAGAAAGACTAATGTTTCTGGAGCTGAAAAAAAAAGTCATAGTTTTGAGTAATCAGCAGCACTTTGTGAATTTTTCCTTTTGAGATGCATATTTTTCTACCTGTCACCATTCTTTATCTCATGGCTAAATTGTACAGTAGCCTTTTAATTGGACTCTTTGCCTTGTTTTTTTTATTCTCCATCTTGACCCTATTGATAAGTTAAACCATCAGTTGTATTATGACATTTCCCAGCTTTAGAAACATTTTGATTTTCATATAACAGATTTACTTAAAATTTAATACATATATTTTTAGAGGCATAAATTTTTGTTTAAAGACTTTAAGCTTGTCTGCTTACTTTGAATAAAAAGATAAGCATGCCAAACCTAATTCTGGGTAAATGAAGCAAAAGGAAATATTGGAGTTGAATTTAGAATTATAAGAGGGTGGAGACTTGGGTTTGGGAATGGACAAAGACAGAGGAAACAGAGACCAAGAAGCAGGAACTATAACAGTGATCCTGCCACATAGGCGGTCTTGTTAGCCTTTCTGCTACTAGGATGGGGTTTCAGTATCTTTATCCCTCTGCTCGGAAATCAGATCCAGAGAGGGAGTGTCTGATCACCCTTGCTTGCATTGTTTTCTCATCCTTGGTCTCATGAGCATTCCTGGATCTGTTTCTGCTCATAGTTATTTTTTGTCGATTTGACATTATGCATTGCATTGAAAAACTCTTGGATCCCAATAAGCAACGCAGATGTTTTTGCATTTTGGTAAGCCATCCCACCTATCACAATAGAAAGAAAAATTTTCTCTATGTATTTTTTAAGTACAATAGATTCATGAAAAGAGTTCCAGTATGTCAAATATCTTGCTGACATACAGACTTTTGTACCTTAGTACATTCCTTTTAAATACTATACATTTCAAAGAATATTTGTACTACGCCACTGGTTTCTTCCCTTACCTGCTTTGATTTTCATGTCATTAATAGATGGTGGATTCGTGTGTTTCCCCACCCCATAAACAGATGTGAATATATACTCAAGTGTGTGTGTATGTGCATGTTATAAAAATATGTATGTGTTTATACATAGGGTAGATATGTAAATGTTATAAAGATTTTTATGGGGCATTAATTTTACAGTTGTGCTTGTTTTAGACATCATGACTGCTGGGGTTTTTTCCCACAGATTTCCTGTATTTCTGAGCCTGAAAAATATGAACATCCATGTTAGTTTCTTGGTTTTGACTATACTCCTAGGATGGAACAAGTACTAAAATGTAGAGGAGGATAAATTGCCTTTCTCATTCACCTTCCTAAATGCAGTTCAGCAAATTATGAGATGCTGAAATGGAATTCTGGCACTGGCAGTATACTCTTCCCTGGGAAACTAGAAGCTGTTTTTCTGCTAGGATGATATCTGGTTTCATTTCAGCATTCATTACTTAGTGAAAATATGGAAACAACCTAAATTTGTAGCAGTGAAGTTCCAATTTAGTAAATTTTCTGTACATAAAAAAATAGTATGGAGATATCAAAAATAATGGTGTAGTGCATGCTTATTGATTTGCAAAGATGTGACGCAGAAAAAAGTCCATGAAATATTAAATGAAGGGCAGATTACACAATTACATTTTTATGTCCCTACTTATTTAAAATTATGTGCTAATTTCTGCATGCGTGTTTATTCACTAAGCAGTGCCTCTAGTACATATGAAATAGTGGTTGTATCTAATAAGCAGATTTGGACATTTCTTTGATAGTTGATTACCCATTTTGAGAACCAAAACTTTGATAAAACGTTCATCTATCCCTTTTAGTGACTTTTTTGCCACATTATGTAGTTTTTAAGAAATTTTAATAATATATGCTGCTAATAATTATGGCTCTTACATGTCTTTTTCAGTTGTTGTGTTATACTACTGAGCAAAACATGAAGACCATTGTTGATTTCTTGGTATTGAACGTCAGACTTTAATATCTTAGTGTTATAAGGATGTTCTTACAGCTGATTATCACCTCTGCCTTCACTTATATATTTTCTAAGGATAGAAACTGCATTTATTTAAAATTGGTTTAATATCTCCTATTTATAAACAGATGTTCTGTTTTATAATCCTTGAATATGAAATACATTTCTGCTAGTTTATGTGACAAATAATTTTCTACTCTATTCAGGTGTAGAGTTTGGTGCTCGAATGATAACGATTGATGGGAAACAGATAAAACTACAGATATGGGATACAGTAAGTATAGCGAAAATGCATATATAATCTTAGTAAAGTTGATTTATAAAAGTACATTTTATGTTTGTTTTTGCTTTAATGTTATTTTATGCCTATTCAATTTGCCAGACACAAATAACCCATAGCCATGAGATGAATTGTGGTATTAAGAAGATGGGTTTTTCTTAGGCAGTGTGATATGAATGATTTCAACAAGTGTGGCTCAGATGTTAGATGTTAGTGAATGTTGGAGTGAATACTCATGCTATGTGGTCTAAACAGAAATGCTTTAGAAACTATTTTTAGGAAAAACAATCAGCCTGTCTGTCCAATCATGTGAAATAAAATAAGAATATAAGTCACAGGGTAACTCATCCTGAAAACCTATTTCAATATTTTTATTTAGCCTTGAAGCCATCTTGCTGTTAATAGAATATCCTAATTCTGTCATTTACTAGTGTTCATTGAATATCTATTTCATGCTGTGCTATTTAGTTTTTTAATAGTGGTTTGTCATCTGAACCAGAATACAGAATGTGATTTGAATGACTGTATCTCATCTTAGATACATAAAAACGAAAATATTTTATACAATGGATGCCGTAAGGCAATGATTTTCAAACTTCAGTTTCAGAAACTCTTTATAAATACTTTTAAAAAAGAAAGAGGACTCCAAAGAGCTTTAGCCACGTGGCTCACAGCTATCAGTGTTTACCATTTTAGAAGTTAAAACTGAGAAATGGACAGGTGTTTGATGCAGCAGTTAAAACACCATTTAGCATTCTCCCATTCCATATCAAAGTGCTGGTTTAAGTTCCAACCTCTCCATTTCTGATCCAACTTTCTGCTGATGCTCATTCTGGGTGTTAGCACATGATGGCTCAAGTACTTGGGTCCCTGCCACCCACATGGAGACTCAAGTTGAGCAAATTGAGTTCTAGACTTCTAGCTTTGGCCTATTTGTTAGGGCTTCCCCCAAGCTTACAGCATCTCAAGCATGCTGCATGGAAAAGAGAAAAATAAAGTGCACCAAGTCCCTTCTTTCCTACGGGCTTAAAATTAATCTTCAACCAAAAGAAAGTATTTTCTGCTTCTATATTAGAATAATTTCTCTTTTTCAGAACCAATTTACATAAACTATATTGGCTTTCATAGCTAATAACATTGTGTAACATGTGACCTTAAGTATAATGTCATGTGAACCAGAATACTTGCTATTCCTTGATAAATGTTTTGCATAAACTTGTACTTTGTATTAATACTTGCTTTATTTGAAATGCTTTTATCTCCTCTTTGCTAAGACCAACTGAGATGTCAATTCTTGTGTGAAGTCTTTCTGAACTCCCATGGGAGTAACTAATGCTTCCCATAATATTTTGCACATTTTTCTGTGTTGTCATTGTCTGTATTCCATTGTCATCATAGTTTTTGTACAAATATCTTTCCTCCTCAGAATAAGCATTATTAGGTAAGGGACCAGCTCTTTCTTTCTCATATATTCTTAGTTCAGTGACTAATAAAGTGCTTGGTAAATTTTTACTGAATAAATAGGTAATTAATACTAAGTAAATTGCCTAAGCAACTTGTAGAATCATTGTGGTCTTCTATTGAAGTACATGGTTTTATAAGGGAAAGGTTACTATAATAATAATTATGTGGTATTTTAAGCATAAACATCCTCATTGTAATTTATTCTAGTTTATTATATTGTTCTATCCTTAAAGTATTCCTTAAATAATATTTTCTTTTTTCTTTATTTTTTGAAAACTTGAGACAGACCCCACTGTCTCTTTTATAGATAAACTGATCATGCCCTCGTTTGAAAGGAGTCTCTTTTTTCAGTTTATGAGTTGATTTTCTTACACAGCAGAAATCTTTCAAAAGAAATGTAATTTCTTCTGCTGGACGGTATGAGAGAGAGATGGAAGAAAAACCTTTTGTGCTGTGTCTAGTAGAGTGGAAGACTCATCTTCTGTATCTAAAAGAGAGACTGTGACACCTTTGAAGACATCATAATCCTAAGAATTACCAAGGGTGCTTAAGTAGAGAGCTCTCAGAACGAATGGCCTATTTCAAATTTTAAGGACAATTGCAAAAACCTTAACTTAATTTTTTGAAGATTGTTTCTTGAGTCTTATAGGTTTTCCTAATATTTTCATTGAGTTTCTTCTTACTTTCGTACCTAACTTCCAAAAGTCTTTCAAAAATGTAAACTAATACATATTAGGATTGGTCAGCATAGTGAGTAAAATATGGTTTCCCACACTATTTGTATTTTATGGTGTGTATACATTTGGATAGCTTGTTACATTTTTGGTAGCAAGGGTCATGTCTATTCCTGACCCAGGACATTTACAAAACCAGCCTAGAGTACTTCAGGGGAAAATTATCACTCAAATGTTATTTGTTTCATGAGTCTTAAAGAAATGAATTAGACCCCTGATGACCAAGTCTCAGGATGTTTGTCATTCTTAAAAAACTTTTAGGGAACAGCACTGTGGTGTAATGGGTTAAGCTGCTACCTGCAATGCCAGCATCCCATGTGGCACCAATTCTTGTCCTGGCTGTTCCAACTCCCAATCCAGCTCCCTGCTAATGTGCCTGGGATAGCAGCAGAAGATGGCCCAAGTCTTTGGGCCCCTGCTACTCATGTGGGAGACCTGGATGAAACTCCTGGGTGCTGACTTTGGCCTGGTGCAGCCCCAACCATTGCGGCCATTTGGAGAGTAAACCAGTAGATAGAAGTTCTCTCTCTCCCTCCCTCTCTCTCTCTCTCTCTATAACTCTGCCTTTCAAATAAATAAAATTAATAATTTAAAAAAATTTTAAGTAAAGTGAGTATTTTCCCCTCTGCAAAATTTTCACATCCTCCATCCTTGCTCTCTTTTGCAAATAGTTGACTGGATAATCCGTAGATACCCTAAGGCCATCAATCAGTTTCACAGCTGGAAGCAGTGATAAGAGTCTCTAAATGCCTCCCTTTAAAAGCACTTTCCCTTGGCCCTAGGATGACTGACATTTTTTTTTTTTTATCAAAAGCCAACACCAGACATGTCTACCATGATAAGTCAAAGAAACATAAGTACACGCAGTTCCTGTTCACTGACAGGTAGGACAGGGGCAGTCAGTTCTCCCTGCAAATCTCAACCCAGTCTTTCCATGCCCTGTTCTACTCTTACTCCTCTTTTGTCTTTTATCACTCTTTCACATGCTTTCCAGCATATACAAATAAACTCTTCTACCCAGATTTATATTATGCATGTTTTACCTCAATCCATGTATCTGCTAAAATTCTGTAGAAATATTTTTAATTTTAGATTTATAAATATTTTTCCTATCAAGAGTTAGTGTGAAACTGTTGACAATTATGTGAAAATTTATGTGCTGAAAGTTCCTTTTCAGCAGTTCATTACAGGCTTTATTGTCCTTTAGGGAGGAGGCGGAGGATTAGCCTAGTGCGCTAGTGAGCTGCAGCGCCAGCTAAGCTTCTTCTTTTTTTTTTTTTTTGACAGTGAGACAGAGAGAAAGGTCTTCCTTTTCCGTTGGTTCACCCCACAATGGCAGCTATGGCCGGTGCACTGCGCCAATCCAAAGCCAAGAGCCAGGTGCTTCCTCCTGGTCTCCCATGCGGGTGCAGGGCCATCCTCCACTGCCTTCCCGGGCCACAGCAGTGAGCTGGACTGTAAGAGGAGCAACTGGGACAGGACCGTCGCCCCAACCGGGACCAGAACCTGGGGTGCCGGCACCACAGGCAGAGGATTAGCCTAGTTAGCTGCGGTGCCCGCCTTAAGCTTCTTTTCAAAACCCTGAATATTACTTTGTTTCTTTTTATCAGTAATGATGGACTATCAGAATGCAGTGGAGCCAGAGTAAAGGCCTCTGGAACTGAGGGACTGAGACAGGCTTGCCTTTGCTTCTTTCTGTCCTGTCTGCTTCCATCACACACACCCCTGCCCTGCCCCCATCTGCCACAAGTTGAAAGACTTAGGGGCCCAGCTGTTTTGACTCCATCAGCAGCTGTTTATCAACCTTTCCTTGAACAACCACAGGGAACAGGAGATTATCTTAGACATTTCATTCTACTCTGATTGCCTTCCACCTGGGGCTCCCAGTTTCTCCTTATACCTTAGCAATAAAAAAACTCTAAAGTGATCATATCCTTTTTATATCTTTTTTTCAAAGTAAATATCCTCACATTTCTAAAGTGTTTGGCATCTACTGTTCTTCCTAGATATATCCTATGCTTGTTTCTCTTCTCCAGATCTACTTTAGTTTCTACAGAGGATGCACTTTAAGAGGCATAAAATGCACTTCAAAATCTGATAGTCCAAAATTACTTTTTTGCAATACTTGCCATGATCACTTTGGTGGCCTAAAAATAACTTTTGCAAACAGAAGTCTTGGTCATACATGTAGATTTTAGAATCTTTTTCCTCAATGATAGAAGTTTGTTAATCACAGATCTGTGTTTTAAAGTTGAGTCTGTATAATAAAGTACCTGAGATGTATGCTTGGGAAGTATACAATTTGTTTAAATGTAAATGTAAAAATCTTTTTTTGTTGTTGTTGTTGATTTTGGCTCTTACTGTGTTCTACTTAACTGAAGTTGTTATATAAATGACTAACAGTGAAAGTAAGAGAAGTATTGCTATAATATTCTCATAAATTTAATTTTCTAACTTTTTTGGCTCTTTGGGGCCCATAAAGATAACATATTTGAGGCCTACTAGAAATATACTTAAGTACTCTGAGTTAGGTCTCCTAAAAGGAGAAATAAAAGGAAAAAAGCATTTAAGAAGTGTGTTGGTTTTACCTAATCATTAAGAACCCACATGAAAATGTTTTTGGATTTGTGAGAAGATAGCTACAGGATATAGTAAACAAGCCTTCTTGCTTTGTGAAAAATTTAGGGGTATGAACCAGTCTTCTAAGGGAATAGAAAATGGATAGGTGAAGGGAGGAAAAAATTATTTTTCAGGCAGAAACTTAAGCATAAAAACAGGAGTATTCCGATTACAGATGGGACATTAGTGGAGAAAAATTAACAGCTGGCAAAATTTGGTGATTTGTTTTAAAGATGTATTTATTTGAAAGAGAGAGCGAATTCTTCCATCCACTGGCTCACTCCCCAGATGGTCAGAACTACCAGGGCTGAACCAGGCCAAAGCCAGGAGCCAGGAGCTTCATCTGCGTCTCCCATGTGAATAGCAGGGGCCTAGATACTTGGGCCATCTTCCACTGCTTTCCCAGACAGATTAAGCAGGGAGCTGAATAGGAAGTGGAGCAGTCGGGGCACATGCCCAAATAGGATGCCAGCATTATAGGCAGTGGCTTAAATTGTTATGCCTCAATGTCAGCCCCAGAAAAAAAATTCTTGAAAGACAAGTAGAGATGTAATTCCCAAGAGTTTAAGACTTCAACTTAGTGTAGTGATCTTTAAGTAGTAGCTTAATGTGTGCAGTTTTGTATTTTATGGAGGGTTTAAGAGAAAGAGGAATTAAAAGTACCACCACTTGCCAGCCTAGTTGTTACAAAAACTACTGTTAACAGAAAGACTCAGACACATGGAAAAGCCAATTTGAAGGAATTTTTATCTGGCAAGTGGTAGTAAGTTTTAAAATATTGCCACAGAGGATCTAGTTTGACTTAGCAGTCCTCACATGTAAAATGAAAAACTATAAAATTTCTTTCACATAAATGTTGCCTAAAAATGAGATGCCTATTATTTCCTGAGACATGCTTGTTTTGTGCTTTTTGGCATATCTGGGATCTTGGTCATTGTTTTTTTCTTTTTTTTAGAAATCAGCTATATTGTAAGCTGATGAAAAGTCATGGTCTTCTCTGGCAAAACCTAACTAACCCTGGTTTATTTGTTTCCTGGTGCTATTCACTGAGTCCATCATTTCTGATTCATTAAATGCAATTTTCCCTATACCAAAAACAACTATCAAGAATCCTTTACTGCAAAGAATTCTATATTCCATTTTGTTTGAAGCTTCTAAGATCCCTTTTAACCAGCACTTCCTGGTGAAGAGGATCAAACACAACATTTCTATTTCCAAATTAACATTTTGTTTCACTAAAAACAGCATAGTTCAGTTTGCACAAGTAAATAGTAAAGTACTTTTCTTTTAATGTCTTATTTTATTTCAATCATTTGTTTATCTGAAAGGCAGAGAAAGAGAGAGATCCACTGGTACACCCCCCAGATGCCCGCAATGGCTGGGACTGGGCCAGGAGAAAGCCAAGAGGATGGAACTGAATCCAGATCTCCCATATGGGTGGTAGGCTCCAGGGTGTGTATTAGCACAAAGCTGAAATTGTTAAGAGCAGAGCTCAGACTTGAACCCAGGCTCTCCAATATGTGATGTGGGTGTTCCAAGCAGTGTTTAATTCTTCACCAAACACCTGCTTATTAAAAACTAAATTACTTTGCTTCAGTATGTCCAAGATAGTTAACCATAGGGCGAGCTTTACATAGTTAGTTGTTGTATTATGATTTATTTGTAGTTTGAGAAGCCATGCTAAATTACTTTATTTGGCAAGATTTATTTCAAAGCTACCAGTGCTATTCCCAAACAGCCCAAGAATATAATGTATGATGGCTTTAACAGGTCTCAAGAATTTGGAAACTGTTTTGAATACTTATCTCCATTTATTATAAAATAATAGTAAGTTTTAAGATGCATGGCTACATTCATAATCTTCAGTTGGAATGTATGTGGGATTTTTGCTTCAGTTTTTGTTTGATTTTGCATTAATGGACAAAATTCAGATCCAGTATGAAGTGATGCATTGTGTATGTGTAAGTTATTTCCATATTTGAACATATTTTTTGCTCTTTGCAAAACACTTTGAGAATAATGCGAATGTTCCGTAGAATTTTGCTTTTCTCCTTTTCCTAAATTTATTTACCCTTTTACTTTTGTAAAGTATCTTATCTGGGCTATAAACATTGTAGTTTTAGATGCTATCATAGTGCTTTTCTAGCAATGTGTTCATTTTAATTCTCCCCAAAAATGTCCTAGCAAGATTGTCTTAAGGAATTTGACTTTTCTCCGTGGTTAGCTATGGAACATCGGAGCTCTAAACCAGATTTTGTATTCTGTACTAATAAAATATTTATCTTTTTTTGTACTGTTTAACACAAAATCCTTTTTTTGTATATTTGATTCACAGTGAAATAAATCTCTTAAAGATTTAGTCGTTAGTTAGCCTGTGCTAAACAATTAAAGAGGAATTACCCTAGTATTCCTATTTGGAACTTGGATTTGACAGAACTTCTGAAAGATACATCTTCGTAATTAATTTCATGCTTCCAACCTTTTTCTAGTTTTTTAACCTCAAACTATGCTAAGTGAGTTGGTTATTTTTACAGTCCTCTTATGTAATGATTTTATCAGTCTCTGATTTAGTATAAGATGTTACTCTGCCAGAATTGGTTACCAGGAGAGCATTTGTTAGTGTCCACATGGAAGCAGGAAGCAGTTCTTTTCATTGAATCTTCTTATATTAGAATTTCCTGATATCCAGTTATTCAGGTGGGTGGGGTACTGACCATTTGTGTGCTCGTAATTGAGACGTGAGGATTTGTTCTTTCTCTCAACAGGTTGTGAATGCCTGCTCTGTCCCAGACTCAGTGCTAGGCACTGGAGGTGGGGGACATGGGAGAGAGGGAGTCTAGTGGGAGGGGAGAACCAACTGAAGCAAGATACTGTAGAGTGTTTGTGTTAGAAGATGGCAGCTTGTCATTGTGCCTTCTGAGAGTGGAAAAGGTTTAATATTTACACTTGAAAATCAGAACTCAAAATAGTTAAACCTGAAAGTTTTTCAAATTATTTGAACCTATTGACTTTTTTTTTTTTTTTTTTTTTGACAGGCAGAGTGGACAGTGAGAGAGAGAGACAGAGAGAAAGGTCTTTCTTTTGCCGTTGGTTCACCCTCCAATGGCCACCGCGGCCGGTGCGCTGCAGCCGGTGCACCGCGCTGATCCCATGGCAGGAGCCAGGTACTTCTCCTGGTCTCCCATGGGGTGCAGGGCCCAGGGACTTGGGCCATCCTCCACTGCACTCCCTGGCCACAGCAGAGAGCTGGCCTGGAAGAGGGACAACCGGGACAGAATCGGGCGCCCCGACAGAACCCCGTGTGCCGGCACCACAAGGCGGAGGATTAGCCTAGTGAGCCGCAGTGCCGGCCACCTATTGACTTTTAATTCAGAAATTGATAAAAGCGACTAATTTAGATGGCTGTTTTTCTCAAAGGTAGAAAAAGAAGTGATTAAAAATGAAAAAGAACTTCTCATAAGAACTGTAATAGTTTTAAACTCATAGGCAATAGTCATATCCTTTACTAGCCTTTCTTAAAAATAAGAATGTTAGTACCACAAGTAAAAGAAATTACCAAATTTCAGTAATATCTGGTGTCTGTGTCACAAGTGGATATAAAGATGACTTTCACATTCTGTGGCCTTTTGACAAGCATTATATATCAAATACAGAGAAAATTGATTGTATGGAAAAAAATTATATAAATTAAATTCAGAACCATTTTCTGTTTTTCATAATAAAATGATTGCTCAAAGAATTCCATCTGATGACTGTTGAAAGCTTGCTGCAGTTTATGATATAACTGATAAAATCTGCATCCTTGGCCTTCCAACAACCTTTACACCAGCAGATGGTGGGCGTAAAGATGTCATTCATCATTTATTTACAATGGGCTTTATTTATTCTAGTGTCAACAGCTGCCCCAGGGAGTGGGTTATTGAATTCAAATGTAAGGCTCTGGGTTATTTGCTTCCTTTCAAATTTGTCTTCAGAGCTTAGTTGCTAGGAGTCCATTCTGTGCTCTAATAATGATTCATGTATTGTGAAGCCATTCAGTAAATTGGGTTGTCAGGGATTGCCAAAAAGGGTTAGGGGTCTTGGTTGGCAAGGGGTGGGGTGGGGGAGTGTTGCAGGAGTGAGCAGCAGCATGTGCTTCTGGTTGACTTGAGCAATAGTGGTATTATGTGACTGCTGAACTTAAGTTTTCCCCTGTCCCTTTATGGACTCCTTCCCTACCTCCCATATTCTATAGATGAAAAATCTGAAAATATAGAGGACAGTGTGTGAAAGGAAGCTCTCAACTTGTTTTTTTTGTTTTTTTGTTTTGTTTTTTTTTTTTTTTTCTTCACAGGCAGGTCAAGAGTCCTTTCGTTCCATCACAAGGTCATATTACAGAGGTGCAGCAGGGGCTTTACTAGTGTATGATATTACAAGGTGAGAGCTTGAAAATTTTTCTAAATAAATATGGTTACCAGTAATAAAAGTGTAGCTCTGTCTTTATATTGCCTTGGCTACTTGTTTTTAAAACTCTGTATCCTGAATCAAATTTAAATTTACTATAGAAATCTGCAATTCTTTTTTTGGATTTCAATAAGCAACCTCCATATTGATCAATTTGGTAACATTTATGGATTGGAAATTTTTAAAGTATGGCTCCATTGAACTGAATGTAATCAGTAGAACTCTAAACCCAGGTAGTGTGCTTGAAATGTGCTTTTCATTATATAAGTGGATAAAGCAAAAAATGATTACTTGAATGGAATGTATCCTATTAACTGTGTACTACTGGAAGTATTTCCAAAAAAGTAATTGTTAATCTTTTGTTTAGGAGAGATACATTCAACCACTTGACAACATGGTTAGAAGATGCCCGCCAGCATTCCAATTCCAACATGGTCATTATGCTTATTGGAAATAAAAGGTAAAAAGGCTAAATTAGACCTTGTTGTATTAATGATAAAGACTTGATTGCTTCTATTTATGTGACTACCTTTCTTGTACATTTCTCCACATGTATTCTTAAATTATAAAATTTTGAAAAATGTTAGATATTTCTTTTGGTTTTTATAATATAAATAATAAGCTTTGTTGAAAACTATTATTCGTCACAGTTTTATTTGAAGGTACCATGGAAAACATAATTGCTTGGCCAAAGTTTCTGTGAACTTTCAAAACTATCGAAAATTTTTCACTAACTTTAGTAGAAAATTATAGTGGTTGCAGAAATTAGTATTTCCTAAATGTCAGTCAGAGAATTCATTCACTTCTAGAATAGATACTATTTAAAGATAAGTTTTAGAAAAATAAAATCATGACTCATATAATGATGAGCATATCAGAACTTTTGTTTATCTCATTAATTAATGAAAAACCAGTATATACTATCTACAATTAGTTCAAAAGAGAACTCAAACTGCCACACATTCATAATCAAATAGCAAATGCTGAAGTTAATTTAGAGGTGGATGTAAGACTGGTCAATATTCATAGGGTATATTCATACTGTATTCTGTGAGTCACAGTCCGCATTTCTTAGATAGGAATTATTTACATTATTATCTGTTTTCCACAAGTTAGAATCTATCTCTACATCTTTGAAAGTGTTAGGGATATAGTTAAGTAGTGCTTAGAGAGACATTAGAATACTAAATACTTCAATTTTCAAACCAACAACCTAAGCTTTTACTTTAAGAAAGATAACAGCAAATTAAACCCAACATAAGCAAAAAGAAGACATAATAAAGAAAAAGCAGTGAAACTGAAAAACTAGTTCTTGGTGCCAGCGCTGTGGCGCAGCAGGTTAACGCCCTGGCCTGAAGTGCCGGCATCCCATATGGGCTCCAGTTCTAGTCCCAGCTGCTCCACTTCTGATCCAGCTCTTGGCTATGGCCTGGGATAGCAGTAGAAGGTGTCCCAAGTCCTTGGGCCCCTGCACCCACGAGGGAGACCCAGAAGAAGCTCCTGGCTCCTGGCTTTGGATCGGCACAGTTCCAGCCTTTGTGGCCAATTGGGGAGTGAACCATCAGATGGAAGACCTCTCTCTCTCTTTCTGCCTCTCCTCTCTCTGTGTAACTCTTGACTCTCAAGTGAAAAATAAATCTTTAAAAAAATAAACAAACAAAAACTAGTTCTTGAGAAGAAAAATAGATACCCATGAAGAAAAAAGACACACATGGAACCAGCACTGTGGAGTATCAGGTAAAGCCGCCGCCTGCAGTGTCAGCATCCCATATGGGTGCTGGTTCAAGTCTCAGCTACTCCACTTCCAATCTAGCTCTCTGCTATGGCCTGGGAAAGCAGTAGAAGATGGCCCAAGTCCTTGACCCCCTGCACCCATGTGGGAGACCGGGAAGAAGCTCCTGGCTCCTGGCTCCTGGCTTTGGATTGGCGCATTTCCAGCCGTTGCGGCCAACTGGGGAGGGAACCAGTGGATGGAAGACCTCTCTCTCCCCGCCTCTCCTTCTCTCTCTGTGTATCTTGGGCTTTCAGATAAATAAATTAAAAAAAAAAAAAAAGACACACATGACCAGTATTAGAAATGAGAAGTGACCTAAAGAATCTTCAGGTATGAAAAGGATAAGAGAGTATTGTGAACTAAGTAAATAGAGACATATGCCATGTTCCTAGATCAGAAAATTAAAATCATTAAGATGTCATTTCTTCCCAAATTTCTCTAAAAGTTCAATGTAATCCCAATCAAAATACCACAGACTTTGGTGGAGAGTAGATAAACTGATTTTAAGATTTATACCGAGGCCGGCGCTGTGGCTCACTAGGCTAATCCTCCGCCTTGCAGCGCCGGCACACCGGGTTCTAGTCCTGGTCGGGGCGCCTGATTCTGTCCCGGTTGCCCCTCTTCCAGGCCAGCTCTCTGCTGTGGCCAGGGAAGTGCAGTGGAGGATAGCCAAAGTACTTGGGTCCTGCACCCCATGGGAGACCAGGAGAAGCACCTGGCTCCTGCCATCGGATCAGCGCGGTGCGCTGGCCGCAGTGCGCCGGCCGCGTCAGCCATTGGAGGGTGAACCAACGGCAAAGCAAGACCTTTCTCTTTGTCTCTCTCACTGTCCACTCTGCCTGTCAAAAAAAAAAAAAAAAAAAAAAAATTTACACCCAAGTGCAAAGGCTATAGAATAGCTAAAACAATTTTGACAAAGACAAACCTGGAGGGATTACTGATTTCATGATTTATTTTAAAGCTACTATAATCACTTTAGTCTGGTATTAGCAAATACAGAGGTTGGTGGAACAGAATAAAAAGTCCAGGAGAAGATCCATACATTTGTAGTCAACTTTTCTACACAGGTGCTAACTTACTGAAAGAAAGGGTAATCTTTTCATCAAAGGATGCTGGAAATAGGAGAATAACCAGATGTGAAAAACTGACCCTTCACTCTTAAACTTATATGCAAAAATTAACTGGAATTGTATCATAGACTAAAGTTTAGGAGCTCAAACTATTTTTAAAAATTCTAAAAGAAAACATAAAATCTGGTGACAGCTTTGGCAAACATCTCAGTTGGAACAGGAAAACACCAACTTTTAAAAAATTTTTTTTAAGATTTATTTATTTGAAAGAGTTAGAGAGGCAGAGGCAGAAAAAGAAGTCTGCCATCCGCTGGTTCACTCCCCAAATGGCCGCAACAGCCAGAGCTGAGCTGATCCAAAGCCAAGAGCTTCTTCCAGGTCTCACACATGAGTGTAGGGGCCCAAGGACTTGGGCCATCTTCTACTGCCCTCCCAGGCCATAGCAGAAAGCTGGATTGGAAGTGGGGCAGCTGGAACATGAATCAGCACCCATATGGGATGCCAGCACGGCGGATGGCAGCTTCACCTGCTACGCCATGGCGCCAGCCACCAAAAATACAACTATTAAAGTAAAAAATCATAGCACAGTGCATATGGGATGCCCATGTCCTGTATTAGTGCAGATTCAAGTTCTACCTCCTCTCCCAATCCACTTCCTCTAACACCCTGGGAGGCAGCAGATGATGGCTAGAGTACTTAGTTTCCACCACCTGTATGAGAATCATGGATGGAATTTCTGGTTCTTGATGTCTTCCCTATTCCAGCCTCTGCTGTTGCTGACATCTGGGGAATGAACCAATGGACGGAAGATTGGTATCTATCCCTTCTCCCCTGTCATTCTACCTTCCTTATAAATATAACATTTTTTTAAAGGAAAAAAAATCAAGTTGCACTTCCACAGAATTAAAAAGTTGGTGACCAAGACAGTTATGGAACTGAAATCCAAAATACAGACTGGGAGATACTATTTCCAAAACATCTCTGACAAAGTATTTTTATCTAGAATATGTAGAGAATTCTTAGAGTTCATTAGGAAGAAAGTACTCGGGTGTTTTGTGTTGTGTCAATTTGAGGAACTGAAAGAGAGTTCTCTCATCCACTGGTTCACTCTCCAAATTCATGCCATGGCTGGGACTGGGCTAAGCGAAGCTGGGAGGCCAGAACTCTCCAGGTCTCCTATATGGGTGACAGTAACTCAATTACTTGAGACATCACTGCTTCCTCTCGGGTCTGCATTAGCAGGAAGCTGGAATCAAAAGCTGGAACCAGGTATTGAACCAAGATATTTCAATATGGGACCCAGGAGTTTTAACCAGCAAGCTAACCACCTTCCCCCACATTTTTTTAAGAATGAGCAAAAAATTTGAGACAAGACTTCACTCAAGAAGACAGTGTTAGAGGAAATGTAAATAGACACAGCCACTTTAGAAATTAAATATATGACCTAGCCATTTTACTGCTAGATACTTACCCAACATAAGTATGTTTTCATACATCAACACAAAGAATTATGCACAAATACTTCTACAACCTTTATTTATATTAACCCAAAACTGGAAACAATCCAAGTATCACTTAAGAGGTGAATTGATAAATTGTGATATACTCTTACAGTGTAATAAAGCTCAGCAATAAAAAGGAATAGACTTTTGATATATGCAACAAAGTGGATAAAACTCAAAATAATTACACCAAGTGAAAAATACCCAGATTAAAAAAAACATTCTGTGAATACATTTATATAAAATCTTAGAAGCTGCAGGCTAATCTATAGGGGCATAAGACAGATTGTAAATTGCATAGGGAGGAAGAGGAATGGATTACAAATAGGATATGAAGAAACTTTTTTCAAGAATGAAGGCCTTCCAGGTATATGTGTGTGTGTATGTGTATGTGTGTGTATGTATTTTGTCAAATTTTATAAGTCGTTATACCCCAGTAAAACTGTAAAAAAAAAAAGACAATAAGATAGCAAAATAATATTATACTGGGTAGGTTTGATTTTAGAATTTATTATTTTAATGGAAATTGAAGTTTCTTATTTATAGATACATATGCATTATAAAAAGGTAAGTATTGATTACTTCTTTGTGGCTAGAAGTATTAGTATCTTGCTGCTCACTTAATAAGGATTTTTTTTTTTTTTTTTTTGCCATCATTTAAATCATCTGATTAACCTTTGTAGGGTTAAAACTATTGGAGGAGGCTTTTACTCTTTCTACTGTAGAAGTCATTCTACCAGTAAAGTGTGAAATGAGAGAATATTTGGAGCATAAAGAAAATTTTCTTTTATCGTGCCAGTTTTTTTCTTTGTGTCTGAAACATGAGTGGCACCTTACTGGTGGCTTAGATTCGGTGGTTGTCCGGGAGAAGCATATAGTTCAAATATATGGGAAAAAAAGTATAATACATTCATAAAAGGTGTTGCTAATGATTACAGATGGGTGACCCTTATAATTAGGAATATAATGGATAGGAAACAACAGAGAGAAATAAATGAGATAATTATTATTGGATGAAGTGAATTGGGATAGACATCAAAACAGGGAATAAGCAGTTTTTGAGTTAGATACATTAAGCAGTAGGGAGCCAGTGGAAGGGTTTGAGGGCTAAGGAGACTAGTTGAAGTCCTGCCCATTCAAATTGTTATTTTGAGCAAAATAAATTTCTTTGGCAACCACTGTACTCAAAGGCAGTATGTACTGGACTGGAATCTCCGTTTCAGATTGCTGCTGATTCTAGCATTCTGGAACTCTTAACTCCGAATTCCTCTTCTGCTGGACAATTGGTTCTAAACACTTGATCCTAATAATACCCAGAATAATGCAGTTAATTATTATATCTTAAAAACAGAGGAAAAATGAATCAAAAGTGTGATCAACTTTGAATACCATAGCACACTTTCTACAGATCTCTTCCTTTGTTCCATGTTGATTAATAACATTGCTCTTTCTTACCCCTATTTAGTGATTTAGAATCTAGAAGAGAAGTAAAAAAGGAAGAAGGTGAAGCCTTTGCAAGAGAACATGGACTTATCTTCATGGAAACTTCTGCTAAGACCGCTTCCAATGTAGAAGAGGTAAATAAGGTCTTTTTTTTTTTTTTTTTTTTTTTTTTTTTTTTTTTTTGACAGGCAGAGTGGACAGTGAGAGAAACAGAGAGAAAGGTCTTCCTTTGCCGTTGGTTCACCCTCCAATGGCCGCCGCGGCCGGCGCGCTGCGGCCGGCGCACCGCACTGATCCGAAGGCAGGAGCCAGGTGCTTCTCCTAGTCTCCCATGGGGTGCAGGGCCCAAGAGCTTGGGCCATCCTCCACTACACTACCAGGCCATAGCAGAGAGCTGGCCTGGAATGGGGGCAACCGGGACGGAATCCGGCGCCCTGACCGGGACTAGAACCCGGTGTAAGGCGGAGGATTAGCCTATTGAGCCGTGGCACCGGCCTAAATAAGCTCTTTTAAATGGCTGCCATCTTCTTAACAAACATTTTATATACCTTGACATTTGTTTATTGTTATTTCTTCCATAAGCTCTTTAGTCTTTGATAGTATTTTAAGTTCATCATAAAGTAAGAAAACCACTTTCCTTTGAAATACCATGTAACATGTCATCCTTTATCAGCCTCCTAAGTTACATGCAGAGCTTTCTCTTTTTTTGTTTTTGTTTTTGTTTTTGTTTTTGACAGGCAGAGTGGATAGTGTGAGAGACAGACAGAGAGAAAGGTCTTCCTTTGCCATTGGTTCACCCTCCAATGGCCGTGTGGCTGGCACGCTGCGGCCAGCGCACCGCGCTGATCTGATGGCAGGAGCCAGGTACTTATCCTGGTCTCCCATGGGGTGCAGGGCCCAGGGACTTGGGCCATCCTCCACTGCACTCCCCGGCCACAGCAGAGAGCTGGCCTGGAAGAGGGACAACTGGGACAGAATCCGGTGCCCCGACCGGGACTAGAACCCTGTGTGCCGGCGCCGCAAGGTGGAGGATTAGCCTAGTGAGCCGTGGCGCCGGCCAGAGCTTTCTCTTGAAACATAAATGTTTTAACACATCTTTTTATGCATTTTGTCTGAAATCCATTTTATTTTGCATTGGGGCGGGGGGAGAACACTAATGAAATTTGGAAGTGTTTCAAGATGCCAAACAATTGTAGCTCTTTTTATCTACTTCTGCCTAAGTGAGTATGCTATTACTACTATGTAATATTATATAAAACATGGGAACTCTGTCATTGTTAATAGAAATAATTTGCATTAGCCAATTATTTCTGTTGATTAATACAAACTATTGAAAAATTTCTGAGCTTGTGTTCTTTTAGCTATGTTTTTGGATATGGCATATATATATTTCATACATAAATGATTAGATGGTTTTCCTTTCTAAGTAAATGTAGTAATACATTCTTACTTTATAAAAAGAAATGAAGCTAAGAAATTAAATAATTTACCCAAAGTAATGCTTAGTTCCTGTCTTTTGTATAAGAACGTCTCATAAGAGTGATAGCAGAAAGGAGTTCTTGAAACAAACAATTGAAGAATCTCATTGTACTAAGGATAGCAGACGACAGATTCCCAGGCAGCAGTTAGCATTGTGACTGACATAGTAAGAAGTCAGTAAATATTTATTAAGAATAATACTTGACGCTTTTCTAATTACCCTTAAACCCACAAATTGACTATAGTTAATTCTACAGCACTGGTATTTTCATTGACAAATTCTTTCTGTCTTGATGAGATGTTCTGTGATTATTCTTAATGCATTTCCTACAGACACCACCTAATGCTAGACCTGTTGCTTGCAGTAATTTCAACTTGATAACACAACAGGAACAATTTCAGACAACACATCCAGAAAGAAACCCATTCCATCCTTTTATCCAACTTGAAATATGTGTATCAAACTACCTTTCAGTAGAGGTGCTGTTTGTATCTGCTTCTGCTTAAATAAGTATTATGTTATTGCTTTGTAACATTATTTAGAGCTTAAGAACTCTGTCATCTCTAATAGTTTTGTGTATGTGTGTTTTAAACCACAAGGCCAGTATGCTGGATAAGATTCCAGACATTGGAAAAATGTCCTTATAATTATTCACAATGTTGTTTCTTCTTGATTTTTAAGAACCATAAATTCACAATTCAGTTGTCTGCATTCTTTTTTTAAAAGATTTATTTATTTATTTATTTGAAAAAGTTACACAGAGAGAAGGAGAGGCAGAGAGAGAGAGAGGTCTGCCATCCGCTGGTTCATTCCTCAGATGACCACAACGGCCAGAGCTGTGCCGATCTGAAGCCAGGAGCCAGGAGCTTCCTCCAGGTCTTCCCACAAGGGTGCAGGGGCCCAAAGACTTGGGTCATCTCCTACTGCCCTCCCAGGCCATAGCAGAGAGCTGGATGGGAAGTGAAGCCGCTGGGACTCAAACCGGCACCCATATGGGGTGCTGGCACTGCAGATGGTAGCTTTACCTGCTATGCCACAGCACCGGCCCCACGTTCTCTGCATTTTAACAAAGATCCATACTATGAAGTCAGAGGATATACCATCAAGTAGTGGGAAATTATTCTTGATTTCTAAATCTCTAATGCCTTTGTGCTAATCTTCTTAACATGTAACAATTAGTATTTTTTTATAAACAGCAAATTACTGTTGTCATGTGGCTGAACACTTGAATGAAATATATTTTGTTAATGTTTTCACAGAATTTTATGAATTTTTGTGACTTTGGTTAATAAAATAATTTGTAAAATTTAATCTAGCAGAGATTTTCTATGCATGTGAAAGAATAGAGAAAATTTGTCTCCCAAATGGCAAGGATTTTAAGCAATAATCTGATATGATTTCATTTTTAAAGGATTCACATATGAATATTACATAATATCTAGTCTTCCATGAGATTTTACCTAAAAGTTAAAACTATTTCATGACAAAGTATTTTGAGAAAGTGAAAGTTGGTTATTTGATCTAATAAAAGGCTAGATTTAAACTTTAATCTCTTAGCATGACTTAGCAACTGATTGAACATGAAAATAATAACCAAGGGACTTTTGCTCTGAAAAGATGGAATAGATTTCTGTTCCTTTACTTGTCCTACTGAGTAAAAATGAAGCCCTGGATATTATGTTAAAAAAAAAAAAAAAAATATATATATATATATATATATATATATATATATATATATAAAACAAATAAAAGAAAGTGGAGAGAAGAAAGCAGACTAACTACATACTTTGATACTTGAGCAGTGACAGAGCTCTATTTTATATTTTGTATTCCACACTGGATCCTGAAGAGACTGAAAACCTGAAAAGGCCAGTGAGCACCATGAGAAAAAGAAAGCCTGTGCTAGGTTGAGCATTGTGGCACACTGGTTAAGCCACTGCGTGGGACACCTGCACCCCTATCAGAGTGCCAGTCTGAGTCCTGGCTGTTCCAGTTCCCATCCAGCTTTCTGTGAGTGTGTCTTGGGAGCAGCAGATGCTGACTCAAGTGCGTAGTCATGTGCCACCCCTGTGGGACACCCAGATGAAGTTCTGGGCTCCGGGCTTCAACCTGGCCCAGCTCTGGGTATGTAGAGAGTAACCAGCAAATGAAAGAGCACACATGCACTCTTGTTCGCCCTTTCACTGTTTGCTGAACTTTCAAGTAGATGAAAACAAAATAATAAACATTTTTAAAATAATAAACATCTTAAAATATAAACATTTAAAAATAAAGTGTAGCCAAAGGGCCAGGAAAGGAGCAGCTGACAAGAGAAAAAGAATTCTTGGATAGCCATTCTTCTGTAGGCAGATACCACAGGGAATACTTCCACCATTGCCAGGCCATAATGAGGTTCTCCTACGCTCACCTTGGAGTGACTAAGTGGCAACTCTGCCACCACAACCATTTCTCTGTTGCAGCTGCATAAGAGGAAGTCAACTAAAGTAAAAATACAAGAGTCAAATCTCATAAAACAGTACCCAAAATACCCAGATTTCAATAGAAAATTACTCATCATATCTGTAACCAAGATTTCAAAATGCTGCTGCAGACATTCTGGGGGTGAACCAGAGAATGGAACATTTCTCCTTGTTTCTTCCTGTCTCTGTCACTTGCCCTTTTAAATAAATATATAAATGGGTCCTTTTCGGGGGGCGGATAAGAGTCAGTAAAAGAAATATAAGATGAAAAGAACCAAATAGAAATTTGAGAACTGAAAAATACAATAATTAAAATAAACTCAGTGGATGAGCTAAACAAAAAAATGAGAAGGACAGAGGAAGGAAGTAGTGAACTCAGTGATAAAATAATTAAGACTATGCAGTTAAACTACAGAGAGAAAATAGACTGGAAAGAACAAACAAATGGCCCAAGAGGCTATTACCAATGCTATTTTTTTTTATTATAAACACTTTTATTTAGTAAATACAATTTTCCAAAGTACAGTTTATGGATTACAATGGCTTTTCCCCCCCATGACTTTCCTGCCACCCACACCCCTCCCATCTCCCACTGCCTCTCCCATTCCATTCACATCAAGATTCATTTTCAGTTATCTTTATATACAGAAGATCGATTTAGTATATATTAAGTAAAGATTTCATCAGTTTGCACCACACAGAACATAAAGTGTAAAATACTGTTTGATACTAGTTATAGCATTAATTCACATTGGACAACACATTAAAGACAGAGATCCTACATGAGGAGTAAGTACACAGTGACTCCTGTTGTTGGCTTAACAATTTGACACTCTTGTTTATGGCGTCAGAAATCTCCCTAGGCTCTAGTCATGAGTTTCCAAGGCTATGGAAGCCTTTTGTGTTCGCCGACTCCAATCTTATTTAGACAAGGTCATAGTCAAAATGGAAGTTCTCTCCTCCCTTCAGAGAAAGGTACCTCCTCCTTTGATGGCCCGTTCTTTCTACTGGGATTTCACTTGCGGAGATCTTTCATTTAGGTGGTTTTTTTTGTGTTTTTTTTTTTTGTTTTTGTTTTTTTGCCAGAGTGTCTTGGTTTTCCATGCCTAAAATACTCTCATGGGCTCTTCAGCCAGATCCGAATGCCTTAAGGGCTGATTCTGAGGCCAGAGTGCTGTTTAGGACATCTGCCATT